CCTGTGGATGTGTCAACTGTCCGTTCTATGTAAGTGTCTCTGACTAACTATAACTGTTATCCTAGTATGGGGCGTAGTCGAGATTATTTCTTGTGAATTAGTATGTCGTAAGTACATAAAAACAGCTTAATTAGCTAAATTGTAAGGAATATAAAATTTGTGAGAATGGCGAATACATTCATGAATAATGTATGTTGAAGGGGGAAAAGGATAAGGCTTTGGTAATCCACCTCTTGATCTAATTTTTGGAACTGTTGACACATATCAGGTATGACCATTTGGCAAAAAGCGCGCCAACAATTTTGGATGATTCTTTATCAGCAGACTCATACCTGAATGTTCTGCATATGCCATCCACTTTCCCTCGTTCAGAGAGGTCGAGGAGATCTCTGGAATCAGAAAAAAATAATTCTGTACCCGGTTCAGACTTTGAAGATGGGCCGCGGAGCAACTTGGATAGTACACGCTATTCTGAGTGCACCAACTACTTGCAGGAAGTAAGGCAAACATATTCTAGTGCATTCTGGAATTTGCAAGTTTTCTCTCCTGGAATTGCTTCACAATAGACTTAACTTACCCTTCTTGAACATGTGTTTCATATTCTAGTGCATTCTGGAATTTGCAAGTTTTCTCTCCTGGAATTGCTTCACAATAGACTTAACTTACCCTTCTTGAACATGTGTTTCCTTAGAACCGATTTTTAGGAGTGCTTTCTGAGTTTGTATGAAATTAGCATTATCTGCATACATATGAACTGGTTGTTTACTTTGTTTTTTGGCTAATTGAATTCGTTTCTTCTAATTCTGCAGCATGCTCGCCAAAACCTGCTTGGGTTTATGTTCCGCCATGGTCACTATAAAGATGCATGCATGTTATTCTTTCCGCTAAGTGCTCTTCCCCCTCCTTTGCAAACTTCATCTGTGGGCGCAGTAAGCTCAACTTCATCACCTCAGCGGACAGATCCATTGGCAACTGAATATGGGACCATTGAAAGTTTGTGCGAATTTTGTGTCGGCTATGGAGCTATCTCATCCCTTGAGGAAGTAATTACAGAAAGACTTGAATCTGTAAAGCATCAAGATCAAACCATAAATCAGTACACAGCTGGAGCTCTTACACGTATCTGTGCTTTCTTTGAGATCAACCGGCATTTCAATTACCTTTACACGTTTCTGGTAAGAACATCTTTATTGTCATGGTTCTTTGCCTACAAATTATTGTTGGGTTGTATCACTTGGAATTGTCCACTGTTTGTTATACTAATAGTAACAAGGATCTTGCATGCGAACAAAACTGTGCATCTTATGATTCTTATTCCAAAATTCTCAGCTAGTCTTATATACTCGGTTTTACACCTCCTCTCCTCAATATGAACCATAAACCCTGATTCAAAGCTTGAAATTAGTTTCTAGTGCATCCTTATACGTGCAGATCCTATAGTTTTGAGAGGTTTTTGGTATGAATTTTATGACAAAGGCTGTGCACTTATGGTACTGGTATAGTTTTAACTCTGATGCAAGAAAAACGTATTTGTGATCATCTGTTGTCGATCATGACCTATTAGTGTCCTTTTCAGTTTCTGGTAAGACAGGCAAGCTGCTCGTAAAACTGTATGCTACATCCTGAGAGCATAACCTTTTTCACTTAATTTTTTCTTTTAATTGTTCAGGTACTCAAGAAGGATTATGTCACCTCTGGGTATTGCTGTATTCAGCTTTTTATGAATTCTACAACTCAGGAGGATGCTGTAAGGCATCTTGAGCATGCAAAGGTATAATCAGTAGCTCTTTTCTCACCACCCATTCCATCTCTGTCTTTAGTCTTGATTGGATTTCCTGCAATGCCTTTACATGCAAGGCTCATCTGAAAACCCTTATCAACTAAGTGAATCCAAAGTATGTGTCTTGCTAATTTGCTGGTCTTTTAATGCAACTTTTTTGTAGAATGTAAAATTTTGACCACAATAAAGTGGTCTAGAGTCGATTGAAACAATTAGGCATCACTTTGTTGACTTTGTGACAGTAGGTGACACAGAAATTTGGACCAGGGACGTTTTTTTCTCGCTCTTTTTTTTTTCGGCTCGGTAAACAGTATGCAATTATTTAAACCAGAGCACCTCTATAAGTTGCATGGGACATTAAAACAAGTTTTTGTTGCTTACAAGTTATAATATATACTACTTGTATGAATTATATATTACTTCTTGTTTTGGGGCCTATACAAAGAACAGCCCTGCAATCATAAGCATGCCAATGTTGCTCAAAACTACGATTACGGTGCTTGTTACTCTTTCTGTGTTTTTGAACATCGGTCTCTAACTATTTTCTGGGTACAGGCACACTTTGAAGAAGCCTTGACAGCGCGTCATAGAGGCTCAGACTCGAAAAAACTTGTTACAAAGGGTATTAGAGGAAAAAGTGCCTCAGAGAAGTTAAGTGAAGAAACTCTTGTTAAGTTATCCTCTCGGGTGAAAATGCAGGTAACTCTAAACATCGTTTATGTCATCCTTTCGTTGAAGTAGGGTTTTATAGATCCATAGCTTCACCTTTGTGGGTTTGTTATTCCTATAGATTGATGTGGTGAAGTCCTTCAGTGACTCTGAAGGAGAACCATGGAAGCATTCCTTGTTTGGAAATCCAAATGATTCAGAGACATCCAGGTTTGTCCTCAAAAGTTTCCTGCCATCATTCATCTGTGCAACTTTGTTCCCCCATTATTTAAACAAATTTCTAATATCCTTACATAAGTTAAAGAATATATATTGGTAGATTGTAAACCATATAAAGGAAAAAGACAGAGGGCTAGTTACAGTGCTGCACTGATCTGTATTTCTGTCCAAACTGCCCTCATGATTTCACTTCACTTTTCTTTGACACCCAAAGAGAGACTTACCGAGTATTTATAATTCGTTTCTAGCGTTCTCTTTACATATCCATGATGCCTATCGAATGACAGATAGAGATATTTTTCCCTTGTCCAGATAATTGAACACCTCTAATTTCCCATTCTTGAAAGTTGTGGTACTCCTCCAAATGAAACTGGAAAACCACGCTTAATAGTTTATTTGCTGTGGTGAAATTTTGAAGGAAAAATCTTCAGCTGATGTCTTTCCTTGGCTTTTACTTTCAGGAGAAGATGTGAAATAGTGGAGACTCTTGTTGAGAAAAATTTCGACTTAGCTTATCCTGTTATATATGAATTCAAGCTCTCAGGTGCCCTTTTTGTTTTATTCTAATATCTGTGTATTGTTGCTGTACATGGTTTCTGACGTTTCCCTTAATTCTAAGCAGCTGTTGATATATATGCTGGTGTTGCTGCATCACTAGCCGTGAGGAAGAAAGGCAGTCAGTTGACAGAACTTTTCAAAAACATTAAGGGAACAATCCAAGATGATGACTGGGATCAGGTACTGAACAGTGAACAGTTCAGGTGTTTAAGACTATTACATTTCAATATAAAACTCTTTACGAGATCACATAAACGTCTTTAATAAATTACCAAAATAATATGTTTTTATGATACATTCTTCATCGTCAATCTGTTTAGAGCCAGTGGTAAATATGGGTGCTCGGTTTCTGGATGTACCTTTCTATACTTTCATTCGGATTAGGCAATCGTTCAGATACAGGGAAAGCTAGTTCGTTAAGGCTTATATTCTGTGAAACGCTGCAGGTACTGGGTGCTGCCATCAATGTCTATGCCAACAAGCACAAAGAGCGCCCTGACCGTCTCATTGACATGTTAACAAGCAGCCATCGGTAATATATTTTGCTCTTTTAATTGCTTACATCTTGCCACTGTGTTCCACCCCCATGAAAAAGAGTATCACTCCTTGAATAATCTCTCATGGAGTCACTAATCAACCATTAATTTTGGTTTCTCTATTCTCAAATTCACTGTTTCAGTCTTTCAGAGATGTGGTCATGTGTGTAATAAATTGAATCACATTGTACAAGTATGTGGGATCGTTAAACTGATACATGTTTGATTGTAAACGAGTGCAGAAAGGTGCTGGCTTGTGTGGTATGTGGCCGCCTGAAAAGCGCATTCCAAATTGCATCTAAGAGCGGAAGTGTGGCTGATGTTCAATATGTAGCTCATCAAGCCCTACATGCCAATTCGCTCAATGTACTCGATATGTGCAAGCAATGGCTAGCTAAATACATGTAAAGCCATGTAATAATCTTAATGACATCAAAAACAAGAGGTAAACCATTTTATTCCACGCTAGTTTTTTTTTTTGCAAACAAAAATCGAAAACAGACTTTGATGAGGTTTTTGCTTTAAACTTTGGGAGCAGATTGTTTAAAAGAAGAACCTTGCTCTCTCTCACATGAAGATCATTAACCGATGATTCTCACGTATGAGATTATTATGGGTTCTCTGTGTTTGACAACAAAATGAAGAAACTGCAGGTGTCTCTCTACTTGTAACATTTTCTTGGTTCATCAATGGTTGGCATATTTATTAAATCGAATGTATGAGGTTGATTTTTTTTTTTGCGGCTTCTTTCGCAGTTGGGTTTACAAAATTAATTCTATGTTGTTAAATATATACATATATGGGGAATTTATATAGAAGAACTCAAAAAACAAAGATAACAACAGAGAAAGAGTGTAATTGTTGTATTATAAAGGTGAGATTGAGAAACTTCTCCATCTATTTTTTCTTTGGCATATGATACTTGCCTCTATATATTTTTCTAATCTGTTGTATACTGTATCAAACATTTTTACAATGAAAGTTTGATATTTTTTTGGTCTGGTTATAAAAGAGTAGGATGCATTTCATTTCAAAGAAAACAGATAGATAAACACAAGTGGTGAGAACAGATAATGTGCAAACTTAAGATGTCGAACCTCTAAATCTCTTGGTCTTGTTGCCTCGAGAACCTCTTAGTGCCTTAAATTACTCCTCACAAAATTCTAAAACTGACCATTGTGTAGAAATAGACAAATTCGAGTCTTTTCTGAAGAAACCGGTCCATAATCTGTCACTTGTTCGAAATTGAAAGTAAAATTAGTTGTGTCCATGGTACTTAAACACGACACAGATACTTCCACCACGAGATGCAGCACGAACATCTTTGGATCATATTTTTCTTCGAACGAGACCTTTGAAAAAGTCGAAACTGTAATTGAAAATATAAACTCCATATCAGCATTAACCTATAATGTAATGTAGTGATCCATTTATTGGATTCAACTCTTGACAACAACTACTTAAATAACTTTACCTATTGCCATCAGGGTGAAGCTCATACATTTGATTGTCATCTCCAATAGCCAGCAAATACCCCGAAGATGTCAAACCCTGTAAAAGAGTTAAAAAGATATGCAAAGAGCATCAACGCACCATGTTACAAACTTATTCTATATTTCTAATAAAAATTGGCTTTGTATCCTACCTGAATAGTCACAACATTTTGAACAACTTGGTCCTCTACTTTTTCTTCAACAATCACTCTTTGCTCACTGCACATACACGGTAGAGTGTTTCAGCCAAGCAAACATGTAACAGTGCTTAACCCCAGTTAAAAAACATTTCCAGATACATGCTAATTTATACCATGTTTAGCCTTTTCACTAAGATAGTGACAAAAATGAGATACAAATATAATCAAGATCAGATCAGATTCAGATAACAAAAACCCTTCAGTGACAAGCAGACATAAAATGCGTGCAAAATTCACCTGTGTAACCATGTTCTGTAGTAAAGCTCCTCGAGAGATTTAAAACCTGTAAAGTGCAGTGGGATGATGGAGACTGATTATTTGGGGAGTAATATGATTATCATTTCTCAGACGCTCATCTCATCTAAATAACTAATCAACAAATAATTGTATGGAGGATTCTTCAAAAGTGACAAATATGCTCATAAACTAGCAAGCGACTAACTGAATCTTCAAGCAGTTCTGAGATCAGAGGTTTATACCTTGGTCCATGAATAGATCAAAGAATTTTTCAAATTTATGAAAAAAAGCACCAAGGATTTCTTCTCTGTTAAGTAAGTTTGATGCAGGAGACATTTCTTTTAGTCCAGCATTTAAGCATGTGGTTGGCTGCTCGTTGTCCACATTCAATCCCACACCTGCGAGAAGGATCAGTCACTTTCTTTTAATCTACAAGTAGAACAAATCAAAGCAACAAGACTACGAGCTGTGCGCTTCGACTTTGCTATAGTCATAATAAACTTCAAAAAGAGTAATGCTTATTACCCACACTGACATGAAACTTCTTTGATCTATATGTCGAAGTACACAAAATGCCTCCAACCTTAAGGCCATTCAAGTAGAGATCATTTGGCCACTTAATCTTAACATCAATGTACGGCAAACCCTGCAATTGATGAACTTCAAATTAGCTAACTGCTGATACAAATGGATCAAGAACACAACAAAAAGTTATTTTCAAAAAGCATACTTTCTTGTCACAAACATCTTTGACTGCCTCGGTTACAGCAAGAGATACCACATACTGTACCAAAGGCACGACACGACCATCTTCCATTTCTAGACTAAAAGAATACATAAGACAACCCTTTGGAGATTCCCATACATTCTTTGTTCTGCCTGCATTTTCATCAAATCACACACACAGTTTCAAATTTTCACATCTAAATTCTACTTGCTCACTGTACAATCTAATCCAAAAATGTTCAAAAAACTCTTACCTCGACCTTTAAACTGAATATCTGTGACACAAACTGAACCAACTGGAAGCTCAGAGAAGTTACTGAAAGAAACTAAAAAATCAGACTTTAATACACAAAGGTAACTAAATTAACCTTAAGAAGAAACTAAACAGAGCCACCACTTACTGAGAAACAACGTCGTGAGTAGAAGACAAGCGTGGAGACCAAATGAGAAACCGCCCAAACTGATGAGTTATAATAGAGTTCATAAAGAGTGAAAGATTGAAGAAACCATCATCATCATCTTTGACCAAATGCTTAGCCTCAGATTCTAAAAAGATTGAAACTTTGGTATTATCATCTGGGAATTTAAGCGAGTTCTTGTCCTTGAGACGCTTTGCTATCTCAGTTTCCACAGAGGACTTCCCACATAAAACCAAGCTACAAGAAGCATCACTCTCCATTGCTAAAATCAAACAAAACCAAGACAGTTTCTAAAAATTTACTCTTTATTAACAAAAAGCTTCAAACTTGGGTTAAATTAAAGCATATAAATCAGTTTCCACTCAAATAAGGGATCAAACCTGAGGCAGCAACAGAGAAAGATAGAGGACGCAAAAGCTTCAAAGAAGTGAAACGCAAGAGGCTCGCCAGTGTACAAAAATGCAAATCCAATAGATGAAAATTAGATAAGGTTGTTCAACGAAACTGCTTCCATTTAACCAAATCAATCGACTTATAAATTTCAAGTTGCAGACTCTGAACAGAGATTTGAGTTTTTTTTTTGTCAGAGACCTGCGAAAGAGATGGAGGGGAAAGCTGTGGGCAAATCTGGGCCCTGATCCTCAAAATTTCCTAAGCCCAATGTAAGTCCATTTATTTCATGAAGCCCAATACAAACCCATTTATTCTATAGATGCTCTTTTCTTTTCTTTTTTCTGTTACATGTGGGTATGAAGGCATTAGACATTTAGCTAAGGAGTGCATCATACCTCTTCTAAATATTTTCAAGCTCCCTAAAGAAACTTGTGAAGAGATTAATCGTAATCGCAAGGTTCTAGTGGAATCAATGAGAAAATTAAAAAAAGAAATGCATTGGTTTGTTCTAGAGTAGAATGGGGAATATCTAAGAAAAGAGGGAGATATGTGAATTAGAGGCATTGTAATTTTCAATTTTATACAATTTTATCTTCAGAATTTTAAAAGAAAAAAAATACATGTATAAACCATCAAATTAAAAAAAAAAAAAAACACGTTATAATTCGTCTTCCACACCTTCAAAATTTTAAAGGTTTTATAAATTATGAAAACTGAAGTTTTTTTTACTTTACTCTTCATAATTCAGCGAATTTTAGTTTGTTAAACCGCATTGTAATGTTTTTACTAATCCTTTTTTAGTCAGATAATCAATATCCTCTAAACCAACTCAAAATGACTTAGTTGAATGCTTCTGTTAGGTTTCTCGGATATTGAATAGATGTGACGGATAGGTCTATGTGGCGTCGTTATCTCGTTGAACTAGTGGAAAAATATGTGATTGCTTATTGCAAAGTTTTTAAGGCTAGCCTCAGATAAATCGGCTTGTGACAACAAGGATGAGAATTCTAATTTTTCGTGGTAATCTATTAAAATTTTGAGTTTCGCGGGATAAAAATCGGTGTTTCTCCCTGCAATTAGACCTTAAACACTCATTTGTGATCCAAAACATTTTTCGAGTAGTAATATTGTTTCTTATTTTTATATTTCTGTAGTACATATGTTTTTATCCGCTTCCAATTTCTCGAGAAACTTATGTCGAAAAAATTCAAAAATAGTATTAAAAAACAAAAATTAAATGATTTATATTATATAATATACGATGCATTAAAACTGAAAATGGAAATAGTACAAGAATCTAAAAATGAGTAGTGCACATGCTGACACCTGAAACCACACGTGTGACGTGGAAAGAGCGTTTTATTACCAAAACCAAACTCAAACAAAAAAAAAACATGAAAACATGAAAAAACAACCGTTGATTATCGAGAAAGGTTTTGTTTGTATACCGTTGGATTCTCTTCTCTCGAGTCTCCTCAACTCAACCACTACCGAGAACAGTGAAACTGACTTGTGTCGGTGCATGACTTCTGCCAAACAAAAGTCTCAAACACACACACAAAACTAATAAGTTAAAATGAAAGTGATTGTTTACAAGAACCTAAAAACGACAAAATCTTTTCCTTAAAGTTCACCAAAATTTTTAGGGCAGAAAAAATAAAAATACGATATGTAAGTAAAGTGCAAGCGAGGAGAAATGATGGCATAATGCGTCAGCCGTCAGGGATGGTTTTTGCAAAGAAAAAAAACATTTTAGCACATTGTATAGTTTTTTTGGTATTTTAGAGATGAAATTAAAAGAAATAATTTAGGATAATATTGTTGTTTTTCTCCTTATAAGCCTAAGTATTATATTATTTTGATCGATTCGATTAGTCGAATTGAAGAAACCAATGTTAAAATTAACCAATTCGGTTATTTCAGTCTTACCTAAAGAATCAGTTTTTCGATAAAATATATATAATAAAAATATTTTTTTATAATCAATACTACTAGGTTCGGACGCGCGCTACAGCGCGAGGGAAATAATTATATATATATAATTTTTAACTGATTAGAATATGTTATATATTTTAATTTTATTGCAATGCAGTCGATTACGGTGAATTATATTTTTGTGTAATAAGTTTAAATAAAATAATAAACGAAAAAGCGAGTAAATAATATTACATTGAGTTTTGATGCAATTTAAATAACAGTAAAAATTTAACAGTATGAAATAATATTTATCGACAAATTATTCAATTGACCATTTCTGTAGTAGAATAGGAATATACGTAAAAACTACATATTTACAATATATTTTTATGAAGAATCAACCTGTAACATAATTCATTTGGTAAAAAACATTATTCATAACTCGCTTTACCATTATAATTGTGATTTTAACAAACTACCCGTGAACTATCTAAAATTTACATAATTTGATATATAATATATTTTATCAATAATAATTATGTCACCAAAAAATATTTTAAATATTTTAAATTCTTCTAATTATTTTAAATCATTGTCCAAAATATTTAACCGAGTGTAGTTGAGTATTATATATCCGTTTTGAAACATTCAAATTGCAACATATGCAAAAAAAAAATATTAAATTTTTATTAAATATTTTTATTATATAGCATAATATCATAAATTAAAAATAATATCAAAAAATGTTAAATAAGAATGATAATTGTTTTTAATATATTATATTAAATTAGTTAGAGAGATATTAGGAAATCATAAAATTAGTTATGAAAATAATATAATCTTAAAATTAGATATAGAAAATATCCGATGTATGTATCCAAACCCATTTTAATATCCAATTTTGAAGTATCCAATTGTTAAAATCGGGTTAATTTTTTAATTTTGATCCGACCCGTATTCTATTTTGTACTTCTCTTTTACTAATATAGAGATATTTTTAGTTTCTAACTGGCATTTTTTACACACAACAATATTTTTTTACACACAACACTAACATCATCACAACCAACATAAAAACAAATACAACTAATTCTATAAAATAAGATAGATGGTTATGGAAAAACAAATGTCAATAAACTAAATAATTAGACATACAGGGATATTGAATTTTTGTGATTCATCTGACTTTACGTCCAAGGCGAAGATTAGTCTCAAAACAAGAAAAACAAAGTAATATTTTTTTTATGAATTAGTGTCATTTGAATAAGCAAATTGTGTAGACAAGGCATTATCAAGGCACTAGCAAAACAAAAAGGAACAAAAACAATTCTATGATATTTGAATTCTTTCTCCCCTTGGATAAAATTTTGATGGCTTCTATGTCAAAACTATTGTTAAATTCTGAGCTTTTCAAAGTTAGTCATAAGTTAATGCTTTTTTTTCATGTAAAATTTTATTATTAAAATCATAAACTTAACAGTTACAAACATAAGTCAGCGGAAAACAAAATATCTCTAGAATCTACAGCCAGCGGAAAATACGATATTTTTGAAATCTAAAACCCTATAAGAGAAGCTACCAACTGAAACTACAAGCCTAAAGAGTTAGAAAAAGACTCCTATTTCAAAAACATACCAAAAATATCAACTCGACAAAGGAGGATTAAACCAAACCCAACAAGGAATTCTAACTTCAAAAAATCCTTTGCTAGTACATACCGAAAATGCCCTTGACCAAACCTCGATAATCAAATTTCTCCTCTAAAAAACTGCCCAAAAGTAACAGAACTTCATAATCCGCAAAGATGGAACCACTTATAGTTCTTCACATTTTTTCCGGATATGGCGACGTCGAATGCAAGGCAACCTTTTGCACATAGATAGAAGCATAACCATAGGACCAGATCTCGATCAGATCTGAAAAGCAGAGATATATAGCAAATTCAAATTGGGTACCACCTTTCTCAAAGAAACAAGGACAGCGGAGATTGAACCAGAATGAACCCAAAGAAATCTCTAAAGGATACAAAAGAACTTGAAGGATGACAATAACCATAAAAGAGAATTCTTTGACTCAGGTGAGAATTCTTTCGTCAACAAGCATAAAAGAGAACCCCAACTTCTAACCAAAACAGTCAAAGGTAATACGATACCTAATCAACTAATACCGGGAAGATATTACCTTTTCCAAATCCCATACCGTTGTAAAAGAAGAAAAGGTAACGACACAAACTCTGAAACTGTCACAGCTACTAATGAAACAACAAAAGCGATTCCATCTAACCCTAGCAAACCAGCAAAGAAGAAAAGCTGGAGAATCGGTTTACCGTGCCTGAAAGCTAAAGCGACACAAACGACCACAGATCCGCAAAGGCAAACACACTTGAACCACATGAAGACATGGGCCTTCACCGTCCCTAACACATAAAAAGATTGAGCAAACGACAGGAAAAATATATTTAACTTTTGTATTAGGTGTGATATCTCGTAATGTTTTCATTATAACTAGTTACAAAAAAAAATTATTCAAAATATATATATACAAAAGAACGTTTTTAGTTTTAAAATAATTTTTATAATGCATCACTTTAAATTGTGTTTTCAATATTTATGTACTGTTTTGTTTCTAAAAATTTTAAATATTTTACGCCTTGAAAAAAACTTCTTTAGTTTTAAAATAATTTTTATAATGCATTTAGTATTTACTTTGAGTTGTGTTTTTATTATTTATGTGCTGTTTTGTTTCTAAAAAATTTTAAATATTTTACGTACTGCTAACAATTTTTTGTATTCAAATAATTTTGTTTCATTTATTATTACCAAAACTATTTTCTCGTTATAGTCAATTAATTACTTATGATTTTTTCTTTTCGACGACTATGACTTATATGCATTTACTATTTGCAATTGTACGTTACTTTTGTCAAAAATGACTTTACCACAAATAATACAATATCTTGAAAAAAAATTAAGAAAACAAAAACTTAAGAAATTATGAAAGAGAGAATCTAAAAGAAATTATGAAAGAGATCCTGACAATGTCATCTCCAACATTTCTCCGCGTATACGCGTCTCTCCCACAAATACAAACACAGTTTTGTGTTATTTTTTTCCACTCTTCAAGCTTTTGTCGTTTAATGTTCAAAGAAAGAATCATTAGAAAGCTTTTAAATTTCTCTACTCAATTTTATTAAAGGATGGTGGATAGTGTCATAGTGAATTAATAAATAATCTCTAGTTCTCTACTTTTTGTTTTTTTGTCAACACTTGAATAATTTTTAAAATTTCACTGATATGAATGACGATAAATAAAAGAGAATTTTGAATTTCGTAAGACATTATTAATGATTATTAGTATTTGATTATATCATTAGAGTTATTATAAATGAAAGGTCTATTATATATATTATTACATAAAAAAATTAAATTATTAGTTTGTCAACCAAGTATATAAATTAAACTTAAAACGATGTCAAAAAAAAAAAAATTAAACTTAAAACTCTTTTTCATCTGATGTCAAATCTTGAGAAAAAAACACTTACAAAAGAAATAAGTCAGTTTAATTAAATTTTATTTTATTTTAAAATTGTAAACCAACTAAAATATAACAATATAGTGGAGAAGTTCTTGAAGTTTCTTACGGAAATTTCTTTTGAGAACATGTCTTCCTATATCTTTATCTCTTAGAGATTAAAATAGTTATGGAGATTAAAATAAACCTATCAAACAGTTTAAAAAGGGGAAAAATGTTATTTAAATCCCGAACTTATACATTTTGGTCATTTTAATCCTCGACTTTCACTGTGGCCATTAAAATTATAGACTTCTCGTTGGCGACATTTTTAAATCACTATCTTCTGTTGACTGAGCTAGATTGAGCATGTTGTCAAAAAAAATCTCTAATAGAGGAGTTAACAGCCGTTTAGGATTGTTAATCAATCTCTGTTAAGTCGAAAAATGAGAATCACAAAGACAAACGACGTCGTGTTGCCTTAAACGAAATGTCTAAATTCCCAAATCGACGTCGTTTGTCCTTGTGATTCTCATTTTTCAACTTAAAATAGATCGATTAATGATCCTAAACGGTTGTTAACTACTTTGTTAGAGAATTTGATTTGACGACATGCTCAATCTGGCTCAGTCAACAAAAGATAGTGATTTAAAAATAACGTCAACGAGAAGTCTATGATTTTAATGGCCACAGTGAAAATCGAGGATTAAAATGGCCAAAATGTGTGAGTTCGGGATTTAAATTACATTTTTCCCGTTTAAAAAGATTATAAAAATGTTAGCCAATTTTTAGGAACATGTAGGATCTCAAATTCCATATCCTTTGAACAATACTAATGCCCTATTGAAAATGTGATATATTCCTTCAACATGTATCCCCATTAGTTACAAACCATTACAATGTGGTACAAGCCATGGATAAAATATTGTAGGAAAAAAAAGCCTCAATCACCACCATTCTTGATATTGTAGCGACTTCCTTCTGCAAACACTCTCACCAAATATAAACAAAGTGTAACGTTTTGTGTTGGGATGAAGTACTTACAAAGGTGTGGGTAAAATGCTAAGCATAAAACTATAACTCTTTCGTAATGTATACAATGAAACGATTTCAATTTTCAAGTAAACATGTCATTTGTTTCAAACATCCAAATCTAGTGAATTTATGGGCAGCTCCATTGTTACATCTTTTGGTAAACACAAAACCAATACTTTAAAAATTTTGAGCACGATGAAAGATATGTAAAAGAAAACAAAACTGAAAATGGTAAATTGAGAAATTAAATTTTAATGTAACATTAAAATTTAGATGAAAGAGGGTATGAAGAAAAAATAGATATTTGATCCAAAAAAAAATTATTAGGTTTATCAAGAAAAATATGAAAATAAAGAAAGCATAAAATATGAAATTATTAGGATATGGATTTTTCATATTTATATTACTATGATATCTAAAGATAATTGCTACATATCTTATTATTAATAGACTTTAATACCTGTCACAGTCATATTAATCAGTAATTTTGAGAAATCAAACTTTATACAATAGGAAAATTAGTGACATATTTATTTATCATTTTATATTATTTTATATCCTATATATATTTTCTGCATTTGATTTTTTACATATCTATGTTAATATTTCTATTAATATGATATCTAAATTTAATTGCACGATATCTCTTATTAATAGACTTTAAACGTGTCAAAATCATATTAATTAGCAATTTTAAAAAATAAAACTTTATACAATAGGAGAATCAATGACATATTTTTAATCATTATGTATTATTTTAAATCCTATATATTCGGCATTTGAAATTTTACATATCTTTGTTAACATAATGTATTACTTAAAAACTTTTACGTACAGTATATATAAATCTCATCATTAGAGTTTCCCCTTGTTATAATAATATTTAATTAGTAAGTAATTTTGATATACAAAACTTTATACAGTACATAATTTTGACCAAACCAAAAAAAAAAACCAAAAATATTAAATGATAAATTAGCTTAAAAATTTATAAATTAATTAAAAAAATTCAGTAATACTATATACCCTTTAGTTTCCAACTTTCCATGTAATCCTCAAATTTTAAAATATGATTCCAAAGTGGCTAAAGACCCAAATTGTAACATACTCTTCTCACCAAACATATAGTTATAATTGTATATTCATCTCCGGAATTTAAAAAAAAAAAAGAAAAAAAAGAAGAGAATATTATTATTTTTTAATTATATTTTGGGTCTTTTTTAAAAAGAAGTGCGTATGAAACCGACACCTCTGAGACAAAAACAAATACATTAAAAAAAATATATATATATATTTGGTAATTTAGTATAGAGAAGAGAAGAGTGTGAAGAGAGCCAAAGTATAATATTATTTATTTTATTTTCAAAAAAGAAGTAAAAGAAGCTCTCTCTCTCTTTCTTCATTACCTCACTCTGATAACACCTCTTTACCTCACGCACGCGTTTTCGGATCCTTCCTCCTTGACCCGACCCATTTGACCCGACTCCACTTTCCTCTCCCGGGTCTGTCTCTTTTTCTTAATCCCTCTTCTTCAACTGTCTCTTCTTCTTCTTCTTCTGGGAATATTTAGAGATTTACAAGATCCATGTAAGAACCTCACAAAAGCTTGTCTTTTTAGAAACCCAAACCCAGAAAATTAAATTTTTTCTCAATCGGAAAAAAAAAATGTGATTTTTTTTTGTATGTGTTATAAAATTTGCTATCTTTATAAAGTTTCTTGGTCTAATTTTATCAAAGTTATGATCTTTGCATTACAATTTTAATGGGTTTTTGATTTTAGAGATTTGTAAATCATATTATTTAAATACAGTTTCTGTGTTTTAAAAAAACAAAAGCTTTCTTTATAAAATTTCTTGGTCTCATCTTATCAAAAGTTATGATCTTTGCATTACAATTTTAATGGGTTTTTGATTTTAGAGATTTGTAAATCATATTATTTAAATGCAGTTTCTGTGTTTTTTTTTTATAAAAAAAAAGCTTTCTTTATAAAATTTCTTGGTCTAATTTTATCAAAAGTTATAATCTTTGCATGTCGTCTCTTTAAAATTCATATTTTTCATTTCGTCCGTTGCAAGAGGAATTTAATTAAAGAATTTTTTTGTTTTGTTTTTGGCATATTCTTTTGGTTCATTCTTGATTTTATAATTTTTGTTTGATTAGTAAGTAACTAGAATAGCAAAAAGTACGGTACTTTTTTTTATTTTAATATCTTATCTTGATTCTAATTTCTCGGCTTAATGAATCTCTCTGATGAGTTTGTTTTTGATTTTATATGAAAACAGATTGAGAGAAGAGAAGAAATCGTAACCGTAACAACAAAAAAATGTTGAAGACAAAAGCAATGTTTCCTCACAAAGATCAAGCAATGATGTTGTCTCAGTCTTTAGATCAACCACAATCTGATCTTGTCAAACCAATCACTAACCCACTTGCTTTGAGTCTTTTGATTGGTCTGAACAACAACAACAAGTGTTGCATCTCTTCAGATTCTGATTTTGTCAGGAGTCCCAAATCTCCTCTTGAATTCAGGGTCTTGTCTACAATGGCTGATCCTTTTTTCCTTAGATCTCCTAGATCATCATTATCACTCACTGCTCATCTTAACTGTTGTTGTCGTGTCCCTGCTGCTAAAGTTGGGTTAAGTATTGTTGGTGGTGATGATGATCGTTGTTTGTTGCCTGATGTTGTGTTTGGTCCTGCCTTGAGGATCAAATGTTCTAAGGTTAGGGTTAGGGATAACCCTTTAGCCAAGTCTTTGAAGATTGAAAAGGAAAGATCTGGTGTTGTGTTTGAGATAGGTGATGGTAACTCGTGTGAGGCTGAGCCTGTTGGGTTGAGAAACCGGTCTTTTTCTGCGAATGATTGTCTTAGGAAAACCCGAGTTCTGTCTGGATCCAAGTTTGGGGCTGAAGGGGACTTCTCAGGGAGTGCTTCTGACAATGCTTTCTCCTCTTGTCTCTCTGAGGATGACATGGAGGATTACACTTGTATCATTGCTCATGGTCCTAACCCGAAGACCACTCACATTTATGGTGACCGAGTTTTAGAGTGTCACAAGAACGAGTCGAAGGGAGATGATGACTATGAAGGGACACAGTCCGAGTCCATGCTTGCATCTGTTAACTTCCTCAACGTTTGTAACTTTTGCAACAAGAATCTCGAAGTTGGCGACGACATCTATATGTACCGGTGCGTGGTCCTTTCCCAGTACTGATTTGGGATTTCATATTAGTCTTTGAGGGAAATGGTTTAGATGTTGTGAAAAATCTAAACTTGTGATGTTTGTGTGGTTGTGAATTGCAGTGAGAAACCGTTTTGCAGCGAAGAGTGTCGTTCAGAGGAGATGATGATAGACGAAGAGGACCTGGAAGATTCATGCATAACTATGCACGAATCGCTAAAGAAGCTCTTCTGAATAAGAAGCAACTAAAGATGATGGCAAATGGGACGAGCTTTTATAGACCCGACCATCGTCTTTTAACTACTTAAAAGACTTATTATATATGTATTGACTAGTGTCATGCCAATGTTAGGTAACATTTGGCACTAGAACCCGTTCATCCGTCTACAAAGAGCTGTGTTTTATGCACATCTATTAACAGCTGCAGCAGCCACGGATGGATCGGCCGGCCTTCTTTTTGTATATTTTGTAATGGGTTCCGTTTTTTTTTTTTCGTTTCTTGGATATCGAAGTTGAAGGATACTAGTACTAAGATTTTAACTGAATAAGGTTGCAGAAAGAGAGAGTGTTGGTTGCGAAAGGGATTGTGTGACCACTACATTTTCGTTTCGAGTCATGGTTTTAGAGTCTTTCTATGGACTCATAAGTTTGTATGAAGATTTTAATGAAATAAGTAATATATCTATTGTGTTACAACTATGTATTTTGCAAACAGAAAAGATTAGTAGCATCGTCCATGGATTCGATTTACGCAGCAGCTTGTGGTTGCTTAGCGGGACTTGAGTTTTGGTGCAATCACATGAAGAACAAAGATATGACAATTATCTAAAAGAAAGATTATTACAAGTTATTTGACACATGTTGAGCCAGAATCCCCCACTATGGGCCTGTATAATACAAATTGAATCTACCAATAAATTACAAATAAATCATTTATATTTATTTATATGACGTTTTTGAAAAATATAAATATTCGAACATTAGACATCGGAAAAAAAAAAATAGATCAGGCATAATATGTGGGAATATTCGATTATTTCTTCAATAGCGACATTCCATTGCCGGTTCAAATACTAAGATAATATATACATGAGTATGTTGAGTAGCATGACCTTTGTTACATGCTTTGTTGCTGAGATTAACGTATGTGCTAGTATTAACTTAAACAAATAAGTTGACATATCATTTTTTAAAAAATATATCAACTATCAAGGATAAATTTGATAAATTAAGACAAAATGTTTTGGGAATCAATTGCAGATTTGTCCTTTTTGTGATCGTATTTGTGGATTTGCCATTTTTGCTAAAATCTAATAGATTTCCGTATTTCAGGGTAAAAAAATGTGACTAAACATGTGTTTTACTCGTTATGTTTGGGTTTAGTCGGTCTAATTGTTTTTGGAGTTTAATATAAATTATAAAGTATGTCTTTGAGTTAATCGAAATTTAGACATTTTAAAATTTTCAAAATGGAAAATCCAAGATTTTAGTAAAGATGGTACATTCATAAAATTCGACCTTGAAAATGGCGTAAAATTATCATGTTATGGAACATACTATAAATTTCAAAAACATTGTACTAAACCTAGATTCTTTGATTAGTTGCACAATCTATAAAGAATGCGTTTACTAATAATATATTACCAAATCTGATTGTAGAAGTCGGAAGAAAGAATGAGAAATTTAAAAAAAAAAAAGAAAAGAGAGAAGCAAAATTCAAAGCAATCTAATTTGTAAACTGTGTAATACAGTTATTCGTATAATTAACTTAATAAATATAAATATACATATATTACAAATATCATTATATAAAATAAAAATGTACAAACATAACATATCGTGAATACTAAAAGTAGGAGAATAGTACTGAGAAGAGAAAGCCTCCAAACTCAATGGTCCAAATTCATCAACTTCTACAGGCCTCACATACCCCCAAGACAAGATCCTCCACTATTCCTCCAATATCAAATCACTTCACAATGTAGGATGAGATCACTAAATTATTCTTGCAGTATCTTCTTCTCCATCTTAGTACTTACAAAAATATTACAAAACCGTATTAAAAGTCTATTTTCAATTTTTTGTTCGTTAATTTTGGTATAACTTTTAAAAAAACGACTACCCAAAAAACTTGACTTGAATTGATCCGATAACCCGAACTCACATAACTAATTTAAATGTTAAATTGTAAGGTTTAAAAGTCTATTTGATAATTAAAAATATTTAATTTAAATACGGAGAAATATAAAAAGTTTTCGTAAGTTTTTGTTTTGTCAATGACTTACTAATTAATATGCTTTGGCTATCCAAACTGGAGGTAAAAAAATTGCATAATTAACTAATATCTTATAGGCATAGTTGAACATTACATACGTGCTAACCTATCCGCCTTAAAATTTAAATTCCATAGTATAAGTAAGGTAGAAAATAATTTTTAAAAAAACTTTTGATTCCCTGCAAACTCCTCTATATCTATTGTAAAAGCCGACTTATTCTTCTCTTGGTCGATTACATAATGCATGATCTGGGTGAGTGTTTTCTAGTTCAAAGTACAGAGGATGAGTACTTCTTTTTAAATTTCAAGCTTTCATAATAGATCCTACTACATCATCCTAAAAGCAAAACCATTCCATCACTACATATCATTTTGTCTCATTCCAAAAGTCATATATGTAACAACATGTAAAACTCAAAATTTTACAACAATTAGATAACATATTATTGATCCAAAATATGGTCATCAAGTTGTGCAACACTTTACATCTATTAAAAATTATGGGAATGAACTATTATGAGATCAGTCAGAAGTTTATACTGATTGTTATACTCAGTGTTAAAAGATTATCTGAAAGTTTAGTGTCGTAAATAAATTTATATCATTTTTGGTTGACAAAAACAATAATTTATTATTACATATACTGGATATGACAAAAAGATAACCAAATTTTAATATTTGTTAATTGTAAAATAATTGAATTAAGATAACAATTTTCTGCAAGATAAAATAAAATATATTTATTAGTTTTTCAATAGGAGGTCATGTTCCTCTGCATGTCGCAGCAATTGCATATTTATTCAAGAAAAAAATTGTAAATAATTCTTAGTATATTATGTATAAAGATTGTAAACATGCATATAACCATCAATAATATATATTTTCATTAATACTCGATATTTTAACTAAAGCAACAGTTACACAAATTACATTTTTTTTTATTTTCTAAACATACTGTCTTCTAAATTTAAAATAATAAAATTCACAGCTCTAATTTTTATCTTTGAAAATTTAATATTGTATGTATGTTGAGTGTTGACTTTTGCTTTATATAAATATATTGCCATAAATTTTACTTATAAAATCACCTGCAACTTTCAGGAGGTGTTAACTGTTTACTGAATGAATATATAAAAATATGTGCCAGTATTAAATTCTTAAACAAATTAGTTGACGTATAATTAAAATCATAAACATATAAAGGATTAATTTTATAAATTAACACAAATTTTATCTAACACACAATAATAAAAGAATCAGATACTGTCACCATCTAAGAGTTTTTGTCAACGATTACATTAGTATAAAGAGAGATACGCTTATTGCTCTGTTTCGATACAAAACCTCAAACACAAACAAAACAATGGAGTGTCAGTCTCAGAGTGGTCAACCCGAAACCCCAAAACGTTCTCGGGTCACCGGAATATTCCATAAACTAAGGACTAACCTTGTTTTCAGGTCAAAGCTAGCCGAGATAAACGGTGCAATGGGTGATCTCGGTACTTACATACCAATCGTTCTTGCTTTAACACTAGCCAAGGATTTGGATTTAGGCACGACGCTTATATTCACAGGTATATACAACGCGATAACCGGAGCGGTTTACGGCGTTCCAATGCCGGTTCAACCGATGAAATCGATTGCAGCGGTGGCGATTTCTTCCACCGCTGAGGATTTCGGTATACCGGAGATTATGGCTGCCGGGATTTGTACCGGAGGGATCTTGTTTGTGTTGGGGATCTCTGGTTTGATGCAGCTTGTGTTTAATGTTATTCCTTTATCTGTTGTTAGAGGGATTCAGTTGTCACAAGGCTTGGCTTTTGCTATGTCTGCTGTTAAGTATATAAAGAAAGAGCAGAACTTTTCAAAGTCTAAGAGTGTTGGTGATAGACCATGGTTAGGGCTTGATGGTTTGGTTTTGGCTTTGGTTTGTGTTCTGTTTATTGTTCTTGTCAATGGAGATGGGGAAGAAGAAGAGGAAGAGGAAGAAGGTGATGGTGATGGTTCGAGAGGAAGAAGAAGAAGAAGGGTTTCGATAAGGAGTTTTATAGCAAATGTTCCATCTGCTCTGTTGATATTCTTGTTAGGTGTTGTTTTGGCGTTTATAAGGAAGCCTAGTATTGTACATGACATAAGGTTTGGACCGTCGAAGATGAAGGTTGTGAGGATAACGAAAAAGGCGTGGAAGAACGGGTTTTTGAAAGGCACGATACCGCAGTTGCCTTTGTCTGTTCTTAACTCTGTTGTGGCTGTGTGTAAGCTGTCTTATGATTTGTTTCCGGAGAAAGAGTTCTCGGCTGCATCGGTTTCTATGACTGTTGGGTTGATGAATATGGTGGGGTGTTGGTTTGGGGCAATGCCTACTTGTCATGGAGCTGGCGGGTTAGCCGGGCAGTACAAGTTTGGTGGGAGGAGTGGTGGGTGTGTGGCACTGTTGGGAGTAGCTAAAATGGTGCTTGGGTTGGTTTTAGGAGGTTCATTGGTTGGTATATTGGAGAAGTTTCCTGTTGGTGTGCTTGGGGCTTTATTACTGTTTGCAGGGATAGAGCTTGCAATGGCTGCTAGAGATATGAACACAAAGGGAGATGCTTTTGTTATGCTTATTTGTACTGCTGTCTCTTTGGGATCAAATGCTGCTATAGGCTTTGTGGCTGGGATACTATTGTATGTTGTTTTGTGGTTGAGGAACTACGGGCGAGTCAAGCGGAGTACCATTCCCCCGCGATCTGATGAACTTCCTTGAAAGTGTTCTTTTGTGTTTTGTGTTTACTCTTTTGCTTTGTAATAATAAGTTCAAAACTTCATTGAACTGCATGATTCATTTGGAACAGTATCAGTGTATCATGTTTGTGATTTACTTATAAATAAAAAGATTGTGAAGAGATGGACCAAAGTTATTAAAGGCCTCCAAAGCCTTGTGAAGAAGACACCTTACATTTGTGTGATAGATTTGTCTTGGAGGTTCTGGTATGAGTGAAGTAGAAACAGGTTGGGTTTGTTTTGAAGTTACCTCTATGGTCGGTCTCATCTCTCGTTCAAGCTATTGTGTCTCGCTGCATTGGCCCCAAAATCAATCCTTCACTGCAACATAAGATCTCAACGAAACCTACATTAGCTTTCTCCAAGTTGGGTAAAAAACTATGTCAGCATTGCTTCAGCCCATCACCATCATCTCAAAACCTGTTTTGTCCACTTGTTAAAGCTCTCTAGACATATACAACATCTCAAGGTTCAGTGGTCTCGATTTCTTCAGAGTAACCCTCTCCATTGGAGTTGTTTGTTTAGTCGAACACTTACATGAACCAAACACAATAAGGTCTCAAAGTACTGCATCATTATGCAAACATTGTAAAAGAAATCAAGAAATCACAGCACAATGTGGAAGAGAGTTTCACATGCCTACCTATGTCACTAAATCTGACAATCATCGACTCTAGAAAAGAGACTTTTTCACAAAAACATTTAGAAAGTTTTTAGAAAATTGGATCTTGAGAAATTCTTGTTCATTTTTCCTTGGAATAGAGCTAAGCTGTGGTTAAGGAATCAAAAGGACATTTGTTAAATAGTGACATTTATAATGTGTAGATTTGGGTAGCTTTTTCAATACTATCTACTTTATGTTGCAAAGTACAAATGACTTAAATTATTAAAGTTTTAAATATCTGGAAAAAATTAAAAATTGTCTTTGATGATATTTTTCTACTCTTTTCCACCAATTAATTAAGTTCTACATATTAAAAGACATATCTTAGATTTTGAAAAAAATCAACACTTTAGCTTTTGTAAAAGAAAAAAGAAAAAATATATTAATTAAGTAATGTAATATTGAAATTAATTAAGTAGGATAGCTATGTATGAAATGACGTGTCATCAGTTATTTAAAAATTCGCGGGAGATAAGTTCACGAAATAATATAACGATATTTTGCGGGAACTAAACTGGCGAGATAGTATAACGAGATTTCGCGGGAAAGAAGTTAAGTAAAGGTTCCAAATAAACTTTAAAAAACCGTTACAACCGTTATGATTAGACAAATAGAAACAATATCAATTGAGACTATCTTCGAGTTAATTATGTAGATTTAAGCAAAATTATATCAATTAAAGTATGAATTTTACACAACCTAGTCAAAAAACATTGTTAAACCTTTTGAAATTAGTATATAGAAAATTTTAGCTATGAATTGTTTGGGTCTAAACTGTATATTTCTAAAAACAATTGAGCAAAAAGTACAAAACCTCAATACATTAGGTACTAAAATGTAAATATATGTAACCAATATAAAGTCAGAGACACGAGCTTTTTAATGGCTTCTCTCCTCGCGTTATCTCCTCTTGTCTGATTTAGCCCTAACCTATACGGCTGCTACATCCAGATTTCCTCATCCTGATTAGGGAGGAACCAAAACCCTAATCCTATCTTGTTCTGTCCTATAAATCGCTTCGACAGCAGTTTCTTTCTCTTCTTCTTCTTCTTCTTCTCTTTCGTTTCCGTTTCAATATCATCTGATTTGATTCATGGTTTCTCATCTCGAACCCTAATTTATACATCCATCAAGTTGTGTTCTTCTTCTTTTGGGCAATCAGTGGTTAGTCTAAAGTCTAGGATTTTCATATAAAGATTTGATATTTCGTTGAAATCGAATCTTGATTTCGTATATTTGTGTTGTGTGTCTCTGTTCTTGCTTTATCTCTTTGGTTTTTTTTCTTTTCTTTTTCTCCTTTTGTTTATCCGTAGAAGACTTCTCGGTGAAATCGAAAGCTTGTTGCTTTATCTCGATCTTGGTGTTTAGCTGAATCGTGTTGTTAAGATGGCTGGTGGTGGAAACAGGAGAGATGAAGGATCGATCACGATCCAGAGTACCAATTTGTTTGCAGCTTTGGACACTCGTAAGAAGAAGAAGAAGTCTGACAAGGCAGGGAAGAGCAAAGGATCCTCTAAGTCACGAGAGGCAGAGAAGGAGCCTGAGCCACAGGTCTTTTGGCAACCTACCCCTCTGAAAGTTAAGTCTTGGGCTGATATTGATGATGACGATGACGATGATGACTATTACGCCACCACTGCTCCTCCTCAGTCTGGCTGGAGCGCTGCTGAGCCTGCCCAAACTGATTCAAAAGACGTTCATGTTGAGGTTAGATGTCTTTAACATTTCATGTTCTATGTTGTTGTGTCTGTCTGGATTCTGATTTGGTTGTAATTTTTGTTTGTGTGACTATTGAGAATTGACATGATGGTAGTAAATAAGGTTCTGTGTATATGGGATAACAATTCTCTTTTGTGACTTGGGAATTGCGAGAGTTTGTTTTTGTTCTGCTGTTGATTTATCCTATGCTTATTGCTCTGATAAGTTATTTAGTGATGTTTGTCTTGGAGAAAAGGAATTGCTATCGTTTCTCATGTTGCTGTATCCCTCTTGAATGTTTCACTTTTGTGTTACCTATGTTGTGGTTGCATTTGGGTTTCTCCTTTACTTGTTCAAGACGTTGTTGTCAAGTTGACATGATTTTAGCTTGATATGTGTGATCTTGATTTCTGATGGGAGTATCTTGGTTTGATTGTCAGGAAAGTGAAAGTGAGGAAGACCTTCTTGATGAAGGTGATGATGATGTGGAGGAGGAGCAAGAACAGGAAACAGAGGTACAGGTTCATCCAGAGCCTGAGGCTGAGGTGAAGAAGGCTCCTGAAGTTCCTGCACCTCCTAAAGAGGCAGAGAGGCAACTTTCCAAGAAAGAGAGGAAGAAGAAGGAACTTGCTGAGCTCGAGGCTTTGTTGGCTGATTTTGGAGTTACCCCTAAGGAGAACAATGGCCAAGAAGAATCTCAAGGTACTCTTGTTTTTACATTCTGACATATTTAATATTAGTAATCACATGTATCATTAGCACAGCCATTGCAACTGATTGTTCCAGGCAATTGTGCTCTAGTGTGCTGCTGTTTTCTCTTTTCAAAATCACCATGTTTTGCTCTGTCTAGCGTTTTACTAATTGCGATACATTGTAAATGCTTTCACAGAGGCTAAACAAGAGAAGAAAGAAGAGGCCAACGGAGAAGGAGAGAAGAAGGAGAATGCAGCAGGTGGGGAGTCAAAGGCATCGAAAAAGAAGAAAAAGAAGGAGAAGCAGAAGGAGGCAAAAGAATCTCAAGAGCTACAAGCAAACAACAACGCAGATGTTGTGGAGGAAGCTACTGTGTCCGAACCAACAGAGGAAGAAATCAAAGAAAGGCTAAAAAAGCTTGCATCCATGAAGAAGAAGAAGTCAGGCAAAGAGGTGGATGCTGCATCAAAAGCAGTTGCGGAGGAGGCAGCTGCGAGACGTAAGAAGCTGGCTGCTGCAAAGAAGAAGGAGAAGAACCACTATAACCAACAGCCTGTGCGGTAAATCCTGAATCACCACCATTTTGATCTTGATGGAAATACAAATATGAACATGTATTTCGCCGTATATTGTTCATATGAGTCTCTGTCCTAATAAGTATTTTGAAGGGTCTGGTTTTTAGGGTTAAAGACATTGAATCCTTTTTTTAGTCGTATTACATTGAACAGGCTAAAGTCAAAACTTCTCTCTTCTGTTTCTTTTCGAACACCTTTCTTTTTAAAATATCAGACCTTTTTTTAGGTACATTCTATCTTCTTCAATCATCTTCTTATGTATGGTTTTATGGTATTAATGTCTTTTGTTTTCGTTCCATTTCCTGTGTTTTGATTCATGCCTAGGTATGGCTAGTCGATAATGAATTGATAAATCAAGTTCTAGGATTGTGTTTGGTTAGATGTTTGAAAGTGATTGTCCATATGAGGGTAAGTTATGATAGTGTTACAATTTAGTTAGACATTGCATACATGTTCACATATTAAGTTAACAGTGGAAGTCTTGTCAAATTAATTGGAAAACCTTCAAAAGGATACATAAACAAACAAGTTTGGTAATTGAGTGAGGCTCGTCCCATCTCATTGGGTCGATCATGCAACCAATAAGTCTACTATGCCAAGTGTAACAATCATATATACACCTCATCTTGTATGTGGATTTAGTATTGGCTTATTCACACAAAATCATGATTCATGAAACATATCTTAGCTTGGTCCTTTTACCTACTTTTGGATGTCCTTAAACTGGTGTACGTGAACACATGTACTGTGAGCTATCATGAGATCATGATCCACATATACAATCATAACTCTGAACCATCCTCAATGCTAGATCATGAATGCATGCAACTATCCATTATCGTGCCACTATCACCATCTCTTTTCCCTTGATCAAAACATCTCTTTATCCTTGATCACATACATTCACATGTACCTCCACGGCTCCACACATCCATTCTAGTAGTCATGGCACGTTCCTAAATTTGTGGAGACTTCTAGTAGTTTGTATTCATGTTTTATCTCCATTGTACCAATGTTCACACATCTACTCAACAATCTATATACATATGTCTTGATCACCTTCTGTTTTCTTTTGTTTTGGTCAAACAAATCACTTTCTGTTTATAAAACCTCAATCTCTTCTCGCAAGTCTCAACAAAGTAATTTTCATGTTAGTGGGATAACAAACAAAAACTATAATTATGACAATTCCCGCTGACCACATCTAAGTGATGTTTTAATGTTTTTTACCTTTAAAACATAATTTCTTATTTTCATTTATTACGGAAATTTGTCTCGAATACAACTAAAATAGGCTCAGACGAAAAATACCATTGTGAGTTTTATTTTTCAAAACATCAGTAAAATACATTTTTTTTTTCAAAAATACTACAAAACTAAAACTAATTTTCTAACATTCAAAACTAATTTCTAAATCTTAAAATACTAAACCCTAAATCTAAAAACTATACACTAAATATAAATAGTCAATCCAAACATAAAAAATAATTTTACATCTTCAAATTTTTTTTTTTATGTTTATGATATTTTTGTAAAAACAAATCTTGTACGTTAATTTTGCAAAACAAACAAATTGTAGTATTTTCGGAAAAAACTTAAACTATAGTATCCAAGGCTATTTTATTTTTGAAACTGGTTTGTTAGTTGGTTTGAAAAAGATATTCTGCTATTATTTTCTTCCCGTCAACTACATCATCATTACATATTTCAGATATAATCCTATTATAATTATATTAAATTCCATGGAGCATATGTAATTATGATGAACACATATTAGGAACAATGATTCAACAGTGCAGTTCTGCTAGTTTATTAATAAATTTCAAATCACATATTTCTAGATACATAGAGTTTTTTTATATTCCTAATTGTATCAAAGTTTGCTTTTTATTTTCCAAAATTTGGCTAATGTATTATCATATTCTTATTTGAATTAGAATTGCCATTTTTAATCACATTTGAGTCTCATCAGCTTCTGGAGTATAGATTGTTTTACATACTACGTTCCTTAACGGGTGAGAAAGTTTTCATGTAAGGTAACAAATCCAGACCTTCTATGTCCGGTGATGAATCCAACAATCCAAAACTTTATCTGCTGGGTTAAACATTTGTTGATTCAGTCGAAGACTGCATGACTTATACAAGAAAGTAAATTAAATACTGCTATGAAACTGTCAATGCAAGATTTTATAGATCATATGCCTAGCGATGCCTTGGGTTCGAGTTTGCAGTTGGAACTTTGGGATCTTGTTAAAAGAACATGAGATCATAAAATTTTGTAAAATATGATGATAGACAACAAAAATGAAGATATATGAATAGTTAATATGGATTTTATAATTACGTCACACTATTTTGTGTTATAAATATAATGTCTAATGTAAGACAATTTAAGACAAATTTAATACATAACTTTAAAGTCATTTATACTGAAGATAAATCTAATATAATAAATAGGAAACTTTTGACATGTTACAAAACAAAACTAAATACTAAGAAATATGAAATTAAATTCATGACAATATGTGAATTTAGATTGTTACCTTTTAATACAATTTAAATTTTGTTAAAAATAGATGTCAATTAAGTGGACCAATAAAGGGAGAGCTAAAATTAATCCTAGATAAAATTGAAAACAAATTAAGGTATATATTAAAACAAATATATAATCAAACGCTTACAATGATATCATAATTGAGTTTTTCACCTATGCATGCAAGAACATTAAATCTATATATATAAAGTTAGTTTTTTCTCTCTTCTCACGATGCAACCTAAGCATCCACCTAAGCCACATTTTTTTTTACATTAAAATAAATTTAAAACATTCATTTAGTACATATGTATGCTACTTATTTAATTAATAGAAAATTTATATAAATAAAAATAAATTATGTAAATAAATAAAATGTTAAATAAGAAATACTTTCATTTTTATTAGTTAGTAGTAATAATATAATTCAACTTTCATTTTAAATTGATCATAGTTTAAAATTTTAAATGTGTTACTGAGTTTAAGAATGTAAGTAAATTTTAAATTTATGGTAGGATAAAAACAACATTTATGTAATTGTATATTTAAAATTTTAAAGGGAAAAAATAAAATTGAAAGTGAAATATTAGTTTATAACATCATCAAAAAGAAAATGCTTTTAATCCAAATTTAAATATTGAAAGATAATAATTCAAGAGAAAATAACTATAATATGTTTTGAAAATCAATTAAAATAATTAAAAGACACAATATAAATAAAAAAAATTAACAAAAAATTTATAAACCTCCCGCGCGCAGCGCGGGTCAACTGCTAGTACATATCTATATAAAGTTAGTTCTCTCTCTTCTTATTCTGTCACTTAAGCTACATTTTGTCTCTGGTACATACAAAGTTTATTAACAAAAATGTACGGTTCAAATATTGATTAAATCGATTTTACAACCCGACTAAAATTTTTATTGAGAAACTATATTGTATATCAAACTATGTAAATTATGGTTAGTTTACGGGTTAGTTTTTTAAACTCACAATTATATGATAGTGCGAGTTATGAATAATACTTTAAGTTAGAACAATCAAACCCATTAACATTGGGCTTAAACACTTTCATGGCCCAAAGGCCTTTTACCTTAAGTGACCAACTCACGTTTCCTCCTCTGCATCTTCTTCTTCTTCCTCCTGCGACCACACCAGTTCATCTGCGTATGCTTCATCTTCCTTTCACTTCCAGATTCTCTTTTGCAGAATTAAGTAATGAATCAACTTCCAACAAACACCCATAATCCTTCTCTCCCTCGGCCACCGCAGCTGATGAGCGTGCGATAATGAGCTTGAGATTGCAAAGCCCTTTTCTTTCTACTCCTCTGCTTCATGGTTCTTTCAATCGCAGAGAAAATAGAGTCAATGTTGCTAGAAGGGCGTTTCGTAGCAGGCGTATATGCTCGGAGAAGAAACAGAACGATTGGTTAGCTAAAGTTGTGAAATTTTCCCAATTCTGTGGGAAAAATGTACAATTGCTTAGGAAGTCTCTTGATTCTAGGAGTAGAGTAGAGGTAAATTGTTTGAAAGAACGAAGTAGGGGTTTGGTTAGGTCTTTGGCTCCTGTTTGGGAAGAGGGTTTGTTTTTCTTGAGGTGTTCTGTTTTCTTTGCTGTGATCTCTGGGGTTTGCTTCTTGGTGTGGTATGGACAGAACAAGGCTCGTGCTTTTGTGGAGACTAAGCTTTTGCCATCTGTTTGCTCTGTGCTTAGTGAGACTATTCAGCGTGAGGTTGATTTCGGAAAGGTTAGAAGGGTTTCTCCGTTGTGCATAACACTTGAAGCGAGCTCTATTGGTCCTCATGGTGAAGAATTCTCCTGTGGTGAGGTTCCGACTATGAAAATTTGTGTCCGTCCTTTTGCTAGTCTTAGGAGGGGAAAGATAGTGGTTGATGCGATTCTAAGCAATCCAACAGTTTTGGTTGCACAAAAGAAAGATTTTACTTGGTTAGGGATACCTCTATCTGATGCTACTTTGCCAGCCCATTCTTCCTCTGAAGAAGGGATTGATTTTCGCACCAGAACTCGAAGAATTTCAAGGGAGGAAGCAGGGATTCGTTGGGATGAAGAAAGGGATAATGATGCAAGAAAAGCTGCAGAGATGGGCTATATTGTTCCTTGTAAAGATTCTTCTCAAACTAAAGATAGTGCGGTGAAGCACGATAGGAGTTTTACTGAAATAATGAATCCCAACTCCTTTATTTGCATGGATGGGAAGATGCATTCATCAGACCAACATTGCATGGACCCAGGTGTTGATTATGACGTGAAGCATGCTGAATTGGAGAAATCATTTGGCATTAAAATCCCTGGTTCAGGGCTGAAGTTCTTGTCCAAAGTGTTGAAGGTCCCGAGGAAGTACAAATTCAAGTGGAAATCAAAATCACATAGTAATTCAATGTCTAATATTAGTGCCAAGAAGAGAATTCTTGAGCGCAGTGCTTCAGCAGCTCTATGTTATTTCCATCGTCTATCACAGCCGAAGCTTGACGAACGTTCAGTGATATCCACAAATTATGATGGGTTGAGTTTGGATATGCTATTAGTTAAAAGTGATAGAGAAATCAGTAATCAATATGATCGCTGTGTTTCGTATGGGGAGCAATCGTTAGCTAATGATTTGGATGGGGAAAAGAGGATCCTTGGTGAAAAAAAGGCTTCAACGTTAGACAAGTTCTCTGTATCATGTGATCCATTCCTTATGACTGTTGATAGACTCTGTGCACTAGTACAAACTAAAGGAAGCACATCTGTTGAACATGTGAGTTCTACTGAATCTGGGACTTTAAGTAGTCAGAGAGGGGATATATCTATGAATGTCGTAGATAAGAATGCTGACGATGTTCCACATGGTAATCGAAGTGGAAATCAACGTCGTGACGTTACTTTCAAAAAGCATGAGCATCAACATGTAGCAAATCATCATCATCTTACTTCGCCATGGAACATAAAATTGAAGGAAATAGTGTTTGACATTCTAACTGGTTCCTCTAAGAAGTTAAGAGGAGGGGCAGTTCCAAGTGCTGCTGACAATGCCCCTCACTTGAGTGATGGACTGGAGAAGCTGCCTGTTGGTTATGTTGAGAAGACACTACCAGTTATGCTCGACTCCGTACAGTTTAAAGCTGGGACACTTATTCTATTAGCCTATGGCGATACAGAGCCCAGGTGAGGTTCATTAATTTTTATAAATTTCATGTTAATAACATTTTTACTTTTAGCGTCAGTTTTCAGTGAAAATCAAATCCTATATTATCCTATGAGATCATTATGGTCTTAAATTCTCTATTTACTTAGTTCAAGCTGACCAAAGTTGAGTTCTCTTTAGGTGACTGATTTTTGTAAACCACATTGATGTAGAGAAATGAGGAACGTCCATGGACATGTTAAGTTTCAGAATCACTATGGTCGTGTGTATGTGCAACTTGGTGGAAACTGTAATATGTGGAGATCAGATGTAACATCTGAAGATGGTGGGCTTTTATCCGTTGATGTTTTTGTTGATACTGTTGAGCAGAACTGGCATGCAAATTTAAATGTCACCAACTTCTTTGTCCCGGTAAGGTAGCAGGTGGAATAGATGACTTATGTTTGGTATCACTTGCAATGGTTGGCTTATCTTATTTCTACACGTCTGCAGATTTTTGAAAGAATTCTAGAGATCCCAATTGAGTGGTCTAAGGGAAGAGCTACTGGTGAGGTGCTTTTCTAATGTCCACTATGTGTCCTCTTAGTAAATTGAAGTTTATCATTTTCAGCAAGCATTAACAATCTATGGTTTATGTTTTCAATTTCTATATTTTTCTCTAGTAGTTTCTTTGTACAACATCTCTATGAGCTGTTAAATGTTCCCAATTAGTTAAGCTATTCAAGCATCACCAAGCTGGCTTAAGAACACCTAATTGTTGGAGCTATATGTATAATAGAATGTAACAGATAGTCATGTTTGGGAGTTCTTTCTTCTCTTTTACAAGTTGAGGGGTCTGAGCAAAATTCCTAAATGAAATTGGTTTTGTCTTGGTCTACTGCATTGCAGGTTCATCTGTGTATGTCTAGAGGGGAAATATTTCCCAATCTTCATGGGCAACTTGATGTCACAGGACTAGGCTTCCATATAAACGATGCACCTTCATCGTTTTCTGTAAGTCTTGGGTTTAAATATATCCTGAATATGCCTTCTCATTTCTTTATAATATGTTTTCTGTGCTTTAGAAGATATATATATATGTCTTACTATAGAGGTTTTATGCTTTCCATGTAATTGCTAAGATATAATGGTTCTCCTGTCGTTATCTTTAGCTAGTAAACTCAGGATGTCAGCTCAAGGTTTGAGTTGCTGAGTCCGGCTACTTTTTGCCTCATACAATCTTTTTTTCTTACAGGATGTTTCAGCCAGCCTGTCTTTCCGTGGCCAGCGCATTTTTCTTCATAATGCTAATGGTTGGTTTGGAAAGGTTCCTTTGGAGGCTTCTGGAGATTTTGGTATACATCCTGATGAGGGGGAGTTTCATCTGATGTGTCAGGTAACATATGTTATGTGAACCCCCAATCTAGATAGCAATTTGTGTTATAATTTACCAGTCAAAGACTAAATAAAATGATTTTCATCATTTTAATGCCTGATATGTTTTCCTATCTTTTCCATCAAAACTGTTAATTGGTCCCTATTTTGTTTCAGGTTCCCTATGTAGAAATTAATGCTTTGATGAAAACGTTCAAGATGAAGCCCTTGGTTTTCCCGGTATAATTTATATTGCATTCTGCATGTTCTGTTAAAATTCACCAGTTATTTAGCGGTTTATACATTTTCATTTCGTTCTTTCTTTTTTTGCTTCTGAGTGACTCCTTTGTCTCGTCTTAATTCATTGTATCATCTTGGCCTGCAGCTAGCTGGTTCTGTTACAGCTGTATTCAACTGTCAAGGCCCGCTTGATGCTCCCGTTTTTGTGGGAAGTTGCATGGTCTCTAGGAAAATAGCTTATCTGTCTCCAGATCTCCCTACATCTTTGGCGTATGAGGCAATGCTTAAAAACAAGGAAGCTGGTGCTGTTGCAGCATTTGACCGTGTTCCATTTTCGTATCTTTCTGCTAATTTCACATTTAACACTGACAACTGTGTAAGTAATTTCTTCATCTGTTTCCACTTCCGTGAAGTATGAATTACCTTTTCGGATATTTCCAAATTAGCCTATTTCATGTAATAGGTTGCTGATTTATATGGTATTAGAGCTACACTTGTTGATGGTGGGGAGATTCGTGGAGCAGGGAATGCATGGATCTGTCCGGAGGTATGTTGTATTTAGTTTACCTATGACAATTGACATTGCAACATTTGTGTATCTGGGTTGGGTGAGGACTGGGTTGGGCAAACCGGGATACTAAGCAGTGAGCTTGGCAATATGACCTAGATATGTGGCTCAATCTTGATGCTGAAATGGTGTATATTTTACAGGGGGAGGTAGATGATTCCGCACTGGATGTGAACTTTTCAGGAAATATATCTTTTGATAAGGTTTTGCATCGTTATATGCCTGAATATCTTAATCTCGGGATGCTGAAGTTGGGTGATTTAACTGGGGAAACAAAACTTTCTGGTGCCCTCTTGAAACCGTAAGGTTCCCTTTTCATTCTATTGGGCTATATTTAGTGTTTCTTTGATGTGTGTGCTTGTGTTATTGCGCTCATTTGAATTTTGAATGCAGGAGGTTTGACATCAAATGGGCAGCACCCAAAGCTGATGGCTCCTTAACTGATGCTCGGGGAGATATTGTGATATCACATGATAATATCATTGTTAATTCATCATCCATTGCTTTTGATCTATACACAAAACTAGATACCTCATACCAAGACCAGTGTTTGTCTCACGAAGACTTCATCCAAGGGGAGGCCATGCCTTTTGTTGTTGAGGGGCTTGATTTGGATTTACGTATGCGCGGTTTTGAGTTTTTCAGCTTGGTCTCTTCCTATCCATTTGATTCGCCAAGACCTACACATTTAAAAGCAACAGGAAGGATCAAATTTCTTGGGAAGATAAAACAACACAGCACTACAAAAGATGGAGATGTTGAGTCAGGCAAATCTGAAGATGCAGCAGCAATTTCTAGCCTAGATGGTGAGATTTCAATATCAAGCCTCAAGCTGAATCAATTGATTTTGGCCCCTCAACTAGCAGGACGTTTGAGTGTTTCACGTGATCATGTCAAGGTAGTGTACTGAATTCTTGCTTCGGTGAACCATATCATCAGTATCAGTATCAGTATCAGACGGATTACTAGTAGCCGGCTATCCTTGCCACATACCTTTCTGTTCGGCAGCAAAAGATCTGTGATTGATATGAGATTTCTACTGTTCACAGCTTTTTCTTAATTCTTCTTCTGTCAATTTATTAAAGCCATGAAGGCTATCATGTCCAAATTGTGTCAGTAGGTCTCATATATATGATTCGATTAGTGTCTAGAGTATTTTGTAGGTATACAAAGGTTATTCCATTATGTTTATTCTAATTTTTTTGTATTGCTTATCTAGCTTGATGCTGTAGGCCGGCCTGATGAAAGTCTTACACTAGACTTTATAGGTCCACTACAGCCTAATTCTGGTGAAAATGTACAAAGTGGAAAGTTGCTCTCCTTTTCTCTTCAGAAGGGACAACTAAGAGCTAACGCTTGTTTTCAACCACAACAGTCCGCTACTTTGGAGGTAATGCTTTCTCTTGTTTGAATATGCTTGTATTTGATCTTTTGAAGAGAAAATGAGAACTGGCTCCAGATGGTTTACATTTTGTCCCTATTGGTCTCAGATACGCAATTTTCCACTGGATGAGTTGGAGTTGGCCTCACTGAGAGGGGTAATTCAAAAGGTAAACACATTCATAGATTACTTTTTTCTGTGTTTGTGCTGGGTGCAGGTTCATAAAGAGAACAGTTTATTAACGGTATTATCAGCTTCAGTCAATTCAGGATATTTTCTTGCATGTTAACAAGAGTGTCAATGAAGATTAGACTCACATAATAAAACTTTCATAAGATGACGTCTTGCAAGTATTATAAATTAGTTTTAGCATAATATGAAACTGGAAGTTCTAATATGGTATAATGCTTCTAATGGAAGCTTATAACTTAGAAAATCAGCTTTTCAGAAGCTACCCGGGGAATTATCTCATTATAATTATCCCAATTATCATTTCTATCTTACTCTCCGTTTTACTTGTAGGCAGAGATTCAACTAAATCTTCAGAAGCGAAGAGGACATGGGCTGCTGTCTGTAATTCGGCCAAAATTTAGTGGAGTTCTGGGTGAAGCTTTAGATGTTGCCATAAGATGGAGCGGTGATGTGGTATGTAGTATAACCGTACTCATTTCATACTACATCATTTGCCACCATATAAATGGCCATAATGAACTCAATTGTATATCACTTTTATGTTTATTACCTTGTTTAAAGTGTTTCATGTTGTCCGGGAGACTAAGGTAATAGTGAGATGAAACTGTGTATAATTGACTAGTACTTTTAGCAGTGAAAGCAATCTGAGAATATGCATGACGATATTTCTGCTAATCCTTTGTATCTTTCTTCCTTAAGATCACTGTTGAGAAAACTATTCTGGAACAAAGCAATAGCCGGTATGAGCTTCAAGGTGAATATGTATTGCCGGGTTCCCGTGACCGAGACCTTGGTCAGAAGGAAGCTGGCAGTTTCTTAATGAGAGCCATGACGGGTCATCTTGGAAGTGTTATATCTTCCATGGGAAGATGGAGAATGAGACTTGAAGTGCCTAAGGCAGAGGTTGCTGAGATGCTTCCTCTCGCAAGGCTTCTGTCAAGAAGTACAGATCCAGCTGTTCATTCAAGATCAAAGGTTGGCTATTGTATTGCTAAATATTGCTAAATAATATGCTTATATTGTGAGTAGACATTCTAAAATATTGGTTTAATAAAATTCAACCTGCATGAGCATGTTTATATTTGTGTACTCCAAAACTATGTTTTCATCTACTCTTTGAGTTGGATGCCTCTGATTATGTGGGGTTTTTGGTTGCTATGGCAGGATCTTTTTATTCAAAGTGTGCAAAATCTCTGTCTACAAGCTGAAAATCTTCGAGACTTGCTAGAGGTAATGTTCCGAATATGATGTCTTTCTTCCATTCTAAAGTAACTAAAATGCTTCTTGTACGCTTCTGATGTAGAAAGCAGATTCTATAATGACAAAAAGAAATGTGTAGATACCATTAAGATTGTCTTTCTTTCTTTCGTTCTTTCCGATAGTAAATCTCATTGTTCCTTGAAATCAGGAGATACGTGGGTATTATACTCCACCAAGTGAAGTCGTTCTTGAAGATCTAAGTCTTCCAGGTTTAGCTGAACTCAAAGGTCATTGGCATGGTTCGCTGGATGCTAGTGGTGGAGGCAATGGAGACACCTTGGTATAAACATAACCTTGTTATCTCGTTTTAAAAATGAAAGGGTAAACATTGTCATCATCGAAAAGAGACTCCAGATTGGTCTTCATAAGCTTTCTAGTCCAAGGGGATGTGTCCCATTGTCCTAAAAATGAAAAAATGAAAACTTTTTATGACTGGGAGAATTAAGTAAGAATTTTTGGTGATGCTTTTTTTTAAACGTTTTCATCTTTCATTTATATCAGGCTGAATTTGATTTCCATGGAGATGACTGGGAGTGGGGGACTTACAAAACACAGCGTGTTCTGGCCACTGGCTCATATAGCAATGATGATGGTTTACGTCTTAAGGAGATGCTTATTCAAAAAGGAAACGCGACACTGCATGCAGATGGGACCTTATTGGGGCCAAAAACAAATCTTCATTTTGCTGTTCTGAATTTCCCGGTCAGTTTGATACCTACCTTGGTTGAGGTTGTTGAGTCATCAGCTACTGATCTTGTCCACTCTTTGAGGAAACTCCTGTCACCAATCAAAGGCATTTTGCATATGGAAGGAGATCTTAGAGGGAGTCTTGAAAAACCAGAATGTGATGTACAAGTTAGATTATTGGATGGTGCGGTTGGTGGTATAGACCTTGGACGAGCTGAAGTTTTTGCTTCTCTTACATCTAACAGTCGTTTTCTTTTCAACTCCAACTTTGAACCATTTGTCCAAAATGGTCATGTGCATATACAAGGGAGTGTTCCTGTTAGTTTTTCGCAGAAAAGTAGCTCTGAGGGGGAAGACAGAGAAACTGATAGAGTTGGTGCAGTCAAAATCCCCAGCTGGGCAAAAGAAAAGGAAGATGATGAGAAGAGAATCTCAAGGGATAGGAGCGAAGAGGGATGGGACAGCCAACTAGCTGAGAGTCTCAAAGGTTTATACTGGAATATATTAGATGCAGGAGAAGTTAGATTGGAGGCAGACATCAAGGATGGGGGAATGACTTTGTTGACAGCCATATCTCCTTATGCTAATTGGCTTCAAGGAAATGCTGATATCAGGCTCCAGGTTGACCCAAAAATATTAGCTTGCCCTCTTGTTATGTTGTCTTTACGTTAAATTGATCTATCCATAACCTTGTAGAATTCTGACCAAATTCATTTACGCATAACCTACTTGCTGAGCAGGTTGGAGGTACAGTAGAGCATCCAGTACTTGATGGGTCTGCTTCATTCCACAGGGCGTCTATCTCCTCACCTGTACTCCGTAAACCTCTCACAAACTTTGGTGGAACCTTACATGTTAAATCAAACAGGCTATGCATCACCTCACTGGAAAGCAGGGTAAGTAGAAGGGGAAAGCTGGTTGTTAAAGGAAATCTTCCCCTTAGATTAAATGAAGCAACTTCTGGTGATGGAATAGAACTCAAATGTGAAGTTCTTGAAGTACGAGCAAAGAATTTTTTAAGGTACTGCAATCACCGCTGCTGTCAATCTTTTCAAGCTTGTAGGTCATAATTTTGATTTTATGTTTCGTACTTTAACTATTGATCTATCTTGAGGGGTACATACTTATCACTTCTGGTTAATATTGAGATACCGTATCGTCTAGGTTTCTTCCATTCTTCTTTTGTAGACTCATGTTAGTGAGCTTATTACAATTTATAATATCTTATGAGAGTGATCTTGTTGTCATTTCAGTGGTCAGGTTGATACTCAACTGCAAATTACTGGATCAATGTTGCAGCCAACTATATCAGGAAATATTAAATTAAGCCAAGGAGAAGCTTATCTGCCTCATGATAAGGGTGGCGGAGCGGCCCCTTTAAATAGATTAGCAGCCAATCAATATAGAATTCCAGGTGCTGCTATTAATCAAGCAGTTTCTTCACGATATTTTGCTCGATTTTTTGGTACAGAACGGGCGTCTTCAGGGATGAATTTCTCCCAGTCTGCTGGTAACTTATGTACTTACGAGCAAAAATTCTATGATTTCTTTTTATTTTCGTATTTTGACTTTGTATGTAAAACTTTGTGATGATCTCTGCTTGTTTTGTCCGCAACAGGTAAATCAAATTCTGTTGAAAAGGAGATTGAAGAAGTGAAAATGAAACCAAATATGGATATTCGTCTGAGTGATATGAAACTTGTTTTAGGACCAGAGCTGAGGATAGTGTATCCTTTAATTCTCAATTTTGCTGTTAGTGGTGAGCTTGAACTTGATGGCATGGCTCATCCCAAATTTATCAAACCAAAGGGTGTCCTGACATTCGAGAATGGAGATGTCAATCTTGTGGCTACTCAGGTTTTGTCTAAATCTCTGTTTTGATCTTATGTGGTGAACTCAATCATTCCATAATATCTTCGCATATTCAAGCTGGTTTGAGTAATCAACATCTAATTTTGTTTTCTAAACACAGGTACGTCTGAAGAGGGAGCATCTTAACGTTGCAAAATTTGAGCCTGAACATGGACTAGATCCTTTGCTGGATTTAGCTTTAGTTGGTTCAGAATGGCAGTTTAGAATCCAAAGTCGTGCCAGCAATTGGCAGGACAAACTTGTGGTGACTTCAACTCGTTCTGTTGAACAGGATGCTCTCTCACCTTCCGAGGTAAGTTTGAAGTAAAAATGTAGCTAAAATTTGGAAATGTCGTTTTGTTTTTCCTCTTAATGAAATTTATGCTTATAATATCACCCTCGCAGGCTGCAAAGGTGTTTGAGAGCCAATTAGCAGAATCCATATTAGAAGGAGATGGACAACTTGCTTTCAAAAAACTTGCAACCGCAACACTTGAAACCATAATGCCGAGGATAGAAGGAAAAGGAGAGTTTGGTCAGGCGAGATGGAGGTTGGTATATGCCCCACAGATCCCAAGTTTACTCTCTGTTGATCCAACTGTGGATCCTCTCAAATCTCTGGCAAGCAACATATCATTTGGAACAGAAGTGGAAGTGCAGCTCGGAAAACGTCTTCAGGTCAGACCTAAACATATAAATCTTCTTTCTTCTCCATATGCTATATCTCTTTTCATTACTACCAAAATAAGCACCAACCTGTCCTTACTGTCTTCTATCTACAGGCCTCTGTGGTAAGACAGATGAAAGATTCTGAGATGGCAATGCAATGGACACTTATCTATCAGCTCACGAGCCGCTTGCGTGTCCTTCTACAATCTGCACCTTCAAAACGTTTGCTTTTTGAATACTCTGCAACATCACAAGACTAAAAGCTTTTTGTCTTCCTCTGTCGGATTCATCTGGATAAGCCGTTTGTTGCAAAGGAAGTGCATTTGGTGGCTACCGACAAGAAAAAATTATTTTATTATTTGGTCAGGGTGTTACTTTGTTTCACTTCTTTAGGCCTCTTTTTAGTTGTCAAAAATGTAAAATTACATTGTAAATACCCCTTTTTAGTGAATATAAAATGGTATGCCACTTCATTGACTGATTGGTGCCACTAGAAGTTATGGAATATGTAACAAAACTATATCCAGCAAAGGACAAGGCTCCTGTGGATGTGAATACTTGAGGAAAAACTAGGGACTACCAACAAAGAAAGACAGCATCCAAAGATAACTACACTGAACAGTCCAAAACTTATGACTACTAAGAAAGAAACTAAACAGCACTAATCCTCACAAGAGCTTCTTGGTTTCATCTAACTATTCATTTGCTGCCTCTGCAAGCTTAGCTGAAAACCTAAGCTTCTTGATATTCAATCTTCTTTCCTCAACACATAACGCTTTCCATTCATCGCTCAATTCTCTTCTTTTACCATTTCCAATGTTCATCAACTTCTTAAGCTGCAGCTTCTTTTGATAATCACTTAAACCTTGCGACATAACAGTCTCAAACGCGTCTCTCACAGCGTATAACTCATCATCCCCATCGCCGTCATGACTCTCTTTCCCATCAGCAGTCCCGTTCTCCTTCACTTTGACTGCCCCATTCTCATTTAAAGGTTCAGTATTAGCCACTTCCTCGTTCTCCTTCAACATCTCCTCCCCATTCTCCCTCTGCTGTTCTACTCGAGCAGCCCCGTTGTTGTCCGGTGCCCCATTTTCATTCAAAGGTTCCTCCTGCTCTTTATCCATTCCATCGTCATTAGCTTCATTTTGTCCCCAAAGCATCATTGAAAACCCAAAGGCCTCAGAATCACTAGCCCTAGTAAACTTGGGATCACTCCCTTGATTGATTCTCTCCAAATGAACAAGAAACCTCGATTTCAACTTCCTAATCTTACTCAAAACCTGATCCTTAGCGTATTTCGAAACGATTGAAACTGCAAGAAAACGATAAAACGCATCCCAATCAATCTTGCTTTGGAATCCTGTCTTAGCTCTGTAATCAACTAACCCCTGAGAGAAAACATTGAATGAGAGGATCTTAACAATCACATACCAAGAATTAAGGAAAAAAGGAGCAACCTTTAATGAGGATTAAGGAAAAAAGGAGGAACCTTTAAGACGACGAGTTCATCTTCTTCGTTCCAGATCCGGGTGAACAAAGGCGAACCCAATTGTGTCGTCGTCGTCGTCTTCTTCTTAATCTTCTTCTTCATCTTATGTTTCTTCTTCTGCTTAGTCTCTTCTTCTGCGACGGAAGCAGCACGCTTTGAGGAATGAGGACTCACCGGTGATTTTTGTCGGGAGAAGGTGTCGTCAGAGTCGTCAGCACCACCAGAGGAAGAGAATTCTAGATGCTTTGGAGACACCATGATTCATGTCACACAAACCCTCAATACTCTGAATCCACCACTGATCCCCAAATTATAAGAATCCGATCCAATTTGTTAAAAAGAAAAAGAAAAAAGTCCATAATGAAATTTATTAATGAGTTTTTTTGATAAGTTTATAACTAACATCATGCAATAAAAACTTAGGGATAAACTAGTATTACCTAGAATGACCAAAATTCAACATTGGGACCTATAAATCTCTATTTTTGGACGATTATATGAAATTTTACATATATTAAAATTATATTTAGTTACATGTAAATGGTGTTATTTATTAAAAAAATATAAACTTATAGGAATGAATACAAGACGGGAACTTATAATTCGAAAACAAACATTATCTGAATTATTTCTCATAAAAAAAAACATGATCATATATAATTGTTATGAGACACGGTTATAAAGTTAAATTCACTTTCAACTTTCAAATATAAAACTACGAGTATGATACGGGGACATGTAATTTAAATTGCTAAATTTAATTTCCACTTTCCTATTTATTTCAAATATTTAGACATGATATGACGGGTACAAGAAGATAACGTATACTTCGGATAACAAAACTACAATAAATCCATGTATTAAAAAAAATAAAAATACCTACAAAAGGCTAAAACATGAATCTTTGAATTGAATAAAGTAATAAGAAATAAAGATGAAACGGAAAGATCAATAAAATTAAAAATCGAACAAGGATTGTGTATGCTAGGATTACAGACAGTGCCTTGTGAATGAAAATGGTAGGAGCATGTGACTTAGATTGATAATTAGATTTTTATTAGTTTGATAAAAATAAATATTTAAATGAGGAATACGGGTATCCCGTCTAAATATTTTACCAAGTTTTTTATAATAAACATTGGCAAATGATTATGTTTTAAAAAGATACGATTACGGGACAGAAATTTTATGACGGATAGAAGACGGGACGGGACGGGGCGGGGTGGGACGGGACGGGTCAGGATGAGACGGAAAGGGACAGGACGGGTTTTCCATTCTAAACTACACATAAAACAGTTCATACTAAAGCCAAACCCAAATCCGATTTAACATCTCTAAGCAAACAATGAAATATTTTGATTAGTTTAAAAATAAACAAGTAATATCATTTATCATTTTCATTTAAATAATTTTAAAATTGTATTATGTAATACAATATTTATATTTTACAACTGTGTGTCTATATATAGTTTATCAAATAAACTCATATATATAACAAAATTTTACCAAAATAGTATCTACTTAACAAATCGTAATTTTGTAAAAATAACCCTGCACGTACGTGCGGGTCCATCACTAGTAAAACTATAAAATAACTAGAACTCTAATCTATGAAAGATTTAATTAGTAGTATGCATTGTAGTCCTGTTAACCGAGTGGATATCCGTTTTTTTAAATTAAAACATTGTATTCATATCCATATTCTCTGTGATTTTTAAAAACTGTATATTTGTATCCGAAAATCCGGATATCCGTAAATATGTTTAAAAAATATTAAATACCAGATATTTAACATTGAAATATCGTATTTCTGTATATAAATACCGGATATCCGTACCTAAAATATTGGATATACGACTAAAAACGGATATTCGTTATCTGTTTTAAACCTAAACATTATATGTATCTGTATATGTATCCAACATATTCGTCATTTTACTGTCTGATCCATATTTGTTTTTCCGAATAAAACAAAAAAGATGGGCTGCCTATATCTGGCCCTCTATAGTATATGGCTTCAACTAGTATCCAACTCTACTTGCACACTCTACCCAATTCTACCTGAACAAATTGTCTTCTTCCCAATTCCACCTAGACTACATAATTCTACCTAGTTAACCAAAATCAATTGATTTTATGTTCTTAGAAATTTCTGCAAATCCTAAAATCAAATTGGGGTTTTTGTGTTCTTAGAAATTTCTCCAAATCGATTTTAGAGGTTCTGATTTCGATTTGGGTTTTATTGACTAGAATTCAGGTAAAAAAAAATATCAATTAAGCTGTTAAAAATTGGGATTTTTTTATTGTAAATTATGATTCGCGTTTACTGTTCACGATTAACTGAAGCCGAATGGATATTCACGATTAACTAAAAAATTCATAATAGAGAAAAAAATTCAAGTTCGGTAAGAGAATACTCAGACCCAATCCCAGTTGATGTTCTTATTGATATATTCTCTAGAGTCACTGCAACGTCTATAGCTAGGTTTCGCTGCGTATCCAAATTATGGGAATCCATACTTGGTCGTCCTGATTTCACAGAGCTTTTCTTGACTAACTCCTTAGCTCGTCCACGGCTCTTGTTTACCTTCGAAGCTAACGAAAAGTTATATGTTTTCTCTTCGCCTCAACCCCAAAATCCACATGAAAACACTACTCTTGTAGCAACACCTTACAAGTGTTTCCCCAAACATTTTCCAACTGCTAAATGTACCTCGCACTTAGGATTGATCTTCTTGCGACATTCGCGAAGAAGAAAAGCTCGGGTGATTCATAACCCCGTCACGGGGAAGTCCATAACCTTACCCCAAGTGTACACCAACAGTGTTGAAGATAGCTATTTTGGCTTTGATCCCATCAGCAAACAGTTCAAAGTGTTGCGTACGACTTGTTCAAGTCGAAAGACTCATTGGATTTTGACATTGGGGACTGGAGAACTTTTGTGGAGGACGATCCAAGACCCAATTCTTCGCCATGAAACTTCTTCGTTTGTTGATGGAATATGCATAAACGGCGTTTTGTACCACCGAGGTGAATTAGAGTTATTAATTCACATAAAGACATGATCCCTAAACGACAGTACACCTTAACTTTGTTCAACGACAAAGGAAAATTAGGTGCACATCAATATACTGATATATTTTGTGCAGCAAAATCTACGTTGTGGGTTCTAGAAGATGGTGGAAAACATAAATGGACCAAACGTATATGCATACTCCCATCAATAGTCTACAACAACATGTTTGTGGGAATGGCGGGTACTGGAGAGCTCGTGTTTTCGCCCTTCTCATGCGATCTATCAAAACCTTTCTACATTTTCTTGTACAATATCGAGAGGAAGACTTATACAAGAGTCCATATTCAGGGATTTGAAGAGTTTCATAAGGATGATAATACTTTCGTTCAGACCAAGCTAGACTTTGTAGAGAATATGAAGTTTATCTAAGTGTGTTCAATTAGCTTTTATAATTTGATTTTCAATTAGCTCTAATGATATTGTGTTCCTCTTATCTCGTAATCGCCATTAAAGTATATATATATAGTAGTAGTAGAGATAACTAAGTAATGTGATGTGAAACCACAAATATAACAAAATCTTCTTGCAAGGCTTGCCTCAAAAGCTCCCGTGTGTTCTCTTGCAACTTCTCCCACAATATTACCAGCATCTGTGGACCTGTGGTGGGGGAAGTTGGATATCTAACACAAGTTGGTTAAATCTAAGCAGGTTGGTTAAATATTTTTATGAAATTTTGTATTATACTTAATTGATAGAAAATGGTGTAAGACATGACACATCCATTAAATATTTTTGACAATGGCTTTAAATCATTATAAACATGACTAGTATGTTTCTAACTATAAATGAGCATGAAGATTAATTTAATCCGCATTATATTTTGAAAGTTTTGTTCGGATTAATAAAGTTATTTATTTGAGCTAACTTTACATATATAATATATATAAATATAATTATGTACATGAAAATCATTATATAATTTACGCATTTGAATATTTTCGGCTTGTATCGAGATTATCATATTTTAGACATGTGTTTGATTGGTTAGTAAAAAGGTAACACCTGCTTTTATTAGCGAAAATGAGTTTATTGAAAGAAAAAAAAATCAGCATTTATTTATAATTTGGATCCTACGATGATTTCTTATATCAAATTTTATTACACTCAGTTCCCGTAAGGGAAAAGAAATTTTATTTTTTCAGTTTAAAATGAACTTGGTTAATATTTTTGTATCCTAAATAAAGTGGTTTTTTTTAAAGCATGTTAAACAAAAACCTGTAATATCTCATGTTTTGCTACTTTATGTATTGTATGTTTTCAGTTTTTTTTTTTTTTTTAAATTAGATAGAACAAAGCAAATAATTTGCAAATATTACAAATAAATTCGGATATTGGAAGTTCCAAGTATCCGAATTTTTTTCAATCGAAGGAAATCGTAAAATCATATATTCGGTCGAGACGAATCATATCACAAATATCACAGATTTTCTGAATATCTGCTCCGTGCCCCTAGCATTCAATCATACAACATATCATACCAAACTGAATAAACGAATGGTGCAACGCACATAGCAGCATGACTATCAAAAGTGTATTGCACCCATCTTCACCTGCATATCGTGTTGGGAGTGAAATCAACACCAAAAAAATTCTTAAACCTTAAACAGCCACTCCTTCATATAAATAGTTTGCATCAGCCATCAGATCTTACCAGATCATGTCGAACATTTCGGTTGACGTCGATGACATGGGCTCACACGATCTGGTTTTGATTGATCATCCATGATCAATCTTATGAGCTGTCGATCTTTTCATCGCACCAAACATCTCAGCCATATCCTTCATCATCGACTTGTGTTGTTCAGCTACGAGCTCTTCCAGGTTTGAAAGCCTCGGGTCGACTGTATCTTCCGTGTTCACCTCTTTCGACTTAGTTTCTATGTGGCTCGAAAACATTTAATACAGCAAAACCAACAATTCAGCCAAACAAAAAATTCCAAATCAAACCCAAACAATCCGTAATAAGAACAAATAAATTCAATGTTCATAAAACATAGTTCAACCATACATATGTGCCACAGATTCAGTGGTTATTTGTTGGAATATTAAGAGGAAGAATAAAAACAGAACAAGAGACTTTTTGTCTTTTCTCTTGTGAAGAAGACAAGAACGAAACTGAAATTATTATTATTATTTTTTTATGAAACTGAAACTTGTTATTTTACATGACGTTATAATGGATTTAAATAGAAAACTAATAGACACAACAACACAATGAGTTGTGTCTTTTCGTACT